ATAGCTCAACCTACTATCACAATGAGGCCCGGAATTACCTCAGAGTAGCGAATCTCAGAGAGATATGGAGGGGTAGGATTAGTTCAGGAAGAAACAGAAAAGATAGTTACTCTAATACCAGGATGTAGACACATACAGGTCGGTTTTAACCTCACAGATATACAGGGACCATCCTGGTATGATAGCATGATTCAACAGCTGTTCGACCACCTACTCAGAAACAACTCAGTCGTAGTGAATTCACATCGGAGGGAAAAAGGAGGAAGAGAGGGTTGATAGAATTAGCGGGAGCAGGCTATGCATCGGGGTAGCGACTGTTAACACCCTTTATGTAGCAGAATTGGAGGCTCAGTTAAGTTCCCTCCAGGAAAAGTTGAGGATAATAGTAGGTCAGGGATATCGGGATCAAGAAAAAACAGGTAGGATAGAATGGCAAATGGCACAGGTAGCCCTGAGCACCAACAAAATGTTAAGACCCCTTCAGAATATTACTCACGAGATTACAGACAGAATGGCTTATGAGGCAACCCGCAATAACAAAGCAGCATTTTGTTCAACATTTACTAGCTGGCTTCTATCCATGGTTAGCACAAATATGTTGCAATTAGATGCTCATAGAATACCAGACTGGGTGTTGGATGAGCAACTGAAGACACGGGTAGGGAGAAGACGCCCCTATGTCACCTCAGAAGTCTCATTCTCACCAACCAGCTCTTGAGCACCTGTGACGATAATAAAGGTCAGCTTTATATTGGTGCGATGCTTCATATATGCAAACATGGGGATAACCTGCCACACACCCTCTAATGCGAGTTCATAATGTGGGTACATACCATGAAGGAACTTAAGTATCATTAAGTAACCACCAACCTATGCGGTAGTTCAAGATGGATCTAAAAGGGAGGTGGATTTGTCCCAAATTTCATCAAGAGGGAAACCATTGGGCACGTCTGAAAGAAACGATCAAAGAAGAGCTAACTCAGTGTGGATTTTCCTCTTATGAGAACTGTTCATTGTCTATCCTGCTAGTGAATAACCAAACTATTCTTAAGTATGCCTTAGTAGGAGACACCTACTATGTTACCATGACAGCGTCAGGGAGCCAAGAAGGAAGGACATGATGTACCTTAGATTGACAGAACCTGGCAATCAGCAATATCTCTTCTGACTTAACCATTAGCCACAAAGTTTTGCTTAAGCCAGAACCTGATGAGAAACTGTTCATAACACCATCCGTCCACTTCAATGATACAGATGATGATTTGCGCCAATTCATAGCTACTGAACTTCCACTCATTCCACACTTCACTGCAGACTGGGTGAAGACCATTTTTGAGGCAAAGGAAGTTGTCCATAAATGGGTTTTGCACGAGAAGGAGATTAAAACGCATGCAGGAGAGGCAAATAAAGACTTGCAGGCTCCAAGTTTCTGGAATAAAATTTGGAATTGGGGACTGAATACTCATGTCCATCCGTGGATCAGAATTGTGTCTCATGTGATTGTTGTACTACAATTTGTTATATTTTTTGTTGTAATAGTCTATTCTGTTTGTTGAAATGCAATGTTAAGAAATGGAAGGGACTAACAACATGGCTTGGTCTCAGATACCACAAGTCAGCTCGTACAGAAGAGGTTTTGTAATGGTTACTTATTAAAGGGTAGGAATTATGTAAACATTGCCAGTTCATAGTATTTCTTATTATTCATTCGTTTGTCATTCGTATTGATATTATGTGTATCTTACAAGATGTGAAAGGTGTATAACAATGTATTTGCGGTGGAACGAGACTGATTTATAACTATTTTTTATGTTTATGACTATGGTTTTGATAAGTACAATGATCTAAATAGCATTGCGGATAACACAACTGAAGAAATGCTTTGTTAAGAATACATCGCTGTCAGGAAGTAATGCTTGCCATTGTCTGGAGATGCCCTGGACAATGTAGCAAACCCAACAGAGATGATACTCAGATAAATCTTTGGATCAAAATGGGAGGAGATGTTGGATAAGGCTGAAGATAACAGGAACTGACAGGAATGATAACAATGGGATGTTATGTGAATGGAATTATGCTGAGTCAGTCAGCTCTGCTAAGAGTTAAAAGAGACAGAAATTGCTGGAAAAGCTCAGCAGGTCTGGCAGCATCTGTGAAGAAAAATCAGAGTTAATGTTTCAGGTCCAGTGACCTTTTCTCAGAACACCGCAGAGGTTTTCCACCAACTTCTGGTTTTGTTCCTGATTTACAGTATCCGCAATTCTTTTGGTTTTTATTCTGCTAAGAGTTAAGACTGCAAGAAATCAGGACCCACTGTCTCTACCAGGTAAGGCATACATTTGGACAAAATATTCGGGATTGCTCACATGCACAGATAAGACCAAGTAAAACATGCATTTTGACAAAATGTTCAGGATTGGTCACATGCACCCATAATTCCAAGTAAGGCACACACTTGGCACAGAGATGTGTATAAAGGGCCTGAAGAAATTCCTTTATTCAGCAACACTTCAAAGGGGGTGGCATGGTGGCTCAGTGGCTCAGTGATTAGCACTGCTGCCTCACAGTACCAGGGACCTGGGTTTGATTCCAGCCTTAAGTGACTGTCTGGGTGGAGTTTGCATGTTCTCCCTGTGTCTGTGCGGGTTTCCTCTCACAGTCCAAAGATGTGCAGGATATGTGGATTGGCCATGCTAAATTGCCCACAGTGTCCAAGGATGTTTGGATTAGACATGGGAATGGGTCAGGGTGGGATGCCCTTCAGAGGGGCAGTATGGTCTTGTTGGGCTGAATGACCTGTTTCCACACTGTAGGGATTCTATGATTAATGTTGTGCAAGAAGTACCATACATCAGGAGGCATGGTGAAGATATCAAACAGAGTTTCAGCTTGGCCAGCTGTGAACTCTCCTGGGTAATAACATTTGGGTTTAGTTACAGAAATCAGGATAGTGAAAGACAGTGTTTGAAATATCTCTAGTAGTTAAAAGTCTGTGTTATTTGTTTAAGTACTCAATAAATGAATTGTGGTTTTATAGAGTTCTAAGTGCCTCTGCTGTGTCTTTGTCTATGTGTACTGTTGTCTCTCAGAGATGGGCAACAGGACGCCTTCCTCAATGTTCTGAGCAAGGGCCACTTGATCCGAAATATTAACTCTGATTTCTCTCCACAGATGCTGCCAGACCTGCTGAGCTTTTCCAGCAATTTCTACTTTTATTTCTGATTTACAGCATCCAGAGTCCTTTCGGTTTATATTAGCTGCTCCCTTTCCTCATTGAGACCAAGGGAGACTGTTGTGCACTAGAATGAAGTCTCTTTTGCTAAAGCACTGAGAATTTCTGGAATCAGTGTTGATAGAATGTACTGAAAATTGAAAGGTGTTCTCAAAAAGAACCCTCGTATCTCTTCAAAGCTCCAGTGCCAAGTGAAAAATGAAAGCTCAGCAAATCTTTAAGTAGTGCTCAAACACCAAAGCAACAACTTGTTTGTTATTGTACTCCTGATTGCCGGTGGGAGAGAATGTTGATTGAAGTGCTGGCCTCAGAAATGCCTTGCATCTTCCTTAATGAACATTAGCAGGCAATGCAATTATCAATTATACCCTTAACAATTCACTGGATGGCTATTCCTCATGAGCGTCTCAATACTGTTACCAGCTACATCTTGTGTTAAACAGTAGCAAAAGGCACAACTTGATCATGTCAAAGGCTCTTTAGTATCTAAGGAAAATAGTCCCATAATGCTTAAAACCAAGTTCCCGCTAATCTGTAGATATCTCATAAATATTATTTTGAATAGAGCTCAGCATTTTGAGTTTGGCTGTTCAACAATGCTAAGGACAGTTCTTTGTGAGATTTGCTAAACATAACCGAGACAAGTGATCATTAAAAATAGAAAAACACAGCGATCTGAAGTGACTGGACGTTAAAGACCTGATTGCTAAGGCTGGCAATGCAGATGTTTCCATGTCTAGAACAAACCTTAATGAAGGTTGACTTCAGGCTTGAGTTCTGAAGACGAGTCATACCAGATTTGAAATGTTAACTCTCTTTCTCTCTCCCTCCAAGAGCTGCTGAGTTTCTCCAACACTTTCTATTTTTATTTAAGCTTAGACTAGAATTGTCTTAGTATCCTTGTAAGTTCTAATATCCTGCATGATATTCAAATTTGGCAATAACTTGAGTGGCTCATGAATGGTGGTTGTTTAAATATGAGCCATTTAAACTTGCACTTGGTGAAAAACCAATACTTGAATGCACCCTCCACCAGCCTGAAATGATGGCTGGGTCTAATGCATCTTGATAGCTCAGTTGATAGAGCATCAGGCTTTTAATCTGAGGGTCCAGGATTCAAGTCCCTGTTCAGGCATAACCCAAGCTTTGGGGTAGCATGGTGTTTAGTGGTTAGCACTGCTGCATCACAGCACCAGTGACCTGGGTTTGATTGCATCCTCAGGCTGATGTGGAATTTGCACGTTCTCCATGTGTCTGTGTGGGTTTATTTTGGGTGCTCTAGTTTCCTCCCACAGTCCAAAGATGTACTTACAGGTGGATGTGCCATGCTAAATTGTCTCTGGTGTCCAGGGATGTTTAGGTTAGCTGGATTAGCCATGGGATGTGCAGGGGTGGATCTGGCTGGGATGCACTTCGGAGGGTGGGTGTGGACTTGATGGGCCAAAGGGCCTGCTTCCACATTGGAGGGATTCTATTCTATAATTCTACTGTTCTGTTGGAAAGCAGGTGATTAGGATGTTTGCAATCCTGTATGAAATGCATGCACACCCACAAAAAAAATTGTCATAGCAACCACCAGATGAAAATATCTCCCTTGTACGTGTGAAAACCACCAGATATCACAGTGGAACCTTGTGGCAGGAAACTCTGATACGTCAAATGCATCAGAAAAGGGTCGTTTCTTACAGAGGTAATACTATCTATTGGAGAACAATGGAGTAAGCTCAGGCACATAAGTTGAGAAATCAACGATTATTAATTTATTTCTGAAGTACGTGACAAGTAAAAGGCAGTCCATCTCAATGGAATTATTCAGCAAGATGCTCATATTCCAGCTCCTGCTCTCTGTAGGTGAGTCTCTGAATGATTCTAAAGTACTGAACAATTTATAACGAAAGGGCCAACTTTCTTGTGTAACTCGAGACCATTTTTTAATCCAATCCTCAAATTTATTTTCCCAAGTCTGTGGTAAATGCATATACAGTGTTAATGAAATTTTCTGTTTGAAATAAACCTTTCCTTTTCAGTTAGTTAGTTTATTCTGCAAATGTGTTGCCTTTACCAATGAAAAGGATTTTTCCACCTATGAGAATCATCTAGCTTTTACGTCTATTCTGAAAATGATTCTTCATTGACAATGGAACAATCTATATTCAGGGCTATTGGATGACTGTATAAGACTGATCAACCTGTATCTAGTGAACGTAGCTAATCTCTTAAGCATTTGGTTTTCCAAATTGTAATTATCCAATTTCAATTATCCAATTGTAATCTCCAAGCAAAGTGGTGTGGAAGTCTCAGTTTATTTTGTCTTGGAATCTGTTTGAGTTTACAATGTATGTGGTGGTGTTTTTTATTGGCAGAACCATTTCAAAGTTTATTTGCACCTTGAGGAAGCCACACACAGCTTATTAAGGTCTCAAAGATACCAGATTGATAACGTTAAAACAATGAGAAAACCAGGTCATGAGAAAGAAGAAACTGTGCAGGGCTTGCTTATTTATTTATGTATCTTTCAGCATTTGTTTCAATTATCCATTGCAGAATTTGAAAATATATTATTTTTGATGTAACGAAGGAAGATACCATAAATGCTGGAAATGTGAAATAAAAACAGAAAATACCAGAAATACTCTGCAAGTCTGGCTGCGTCTGTGAGAGAGAAACAGGGTTAATGTTTCAATCATATAACATTTCATCAGATGCTTTGGTGTTAGCCACAGGAAACAAAATTGTAATGACCTCATGTTTGTGAGGGAAGTAACACCAGGGAGGCCATTTCAGAGTGAGCTGGAATAGTAGAAACCAGAAGTAACAAAAGCTTAGACAAGTTGGGTGATGTAAGGGAAGTGAAAATGGATTTTCGTGATGGTGGAGATGTGTGAGTGGAAAGCTCAACTTGTATTGTATTGTGTCGCTGTAGTCTTACTAGACCACAGAGCAGCTCTCTCATTAGAGAAAGATACGACTGATGGTGATTTAACCTGAGGGCCACCATACCTCATGCAAGGGGAATGGTTAAGAAGGAGAGACTGTCATGGTAACCTCAGCCAGTGTTGGCAATTGATCCCACACTGCTGGCACTGCTTAGCAAACCAACCAACCAAGTTAAACCAACCCTCCCAGTCAAATATAATACAAACATTCTGAATCAGGTTCAGTCTCAGACATTTGCCAAGGCGAGGAATGGAATCAATTTCAAAGGATTGGAGTTTGTGACTGGTTCAAAGACAATGGTTTCTTTACTAATTTTAATAAAGAAATCTGACAATTCAGAAACAGTGGAGCAGTCAAGAGAGGTGAATGTGAAACAGAGCTGGTAATCATCACTTTACATGAGCAAATTGACTGTGTTCCTAGATGATGTCATCAAGGGGAATGTGTAAATGAGAAATAGAAGGGATCAAGTATAGATCCTTGGAGCCACCCACATATGAGATGATGAGGTGAACCACTGCAGATGATTCATGGACTATGAAAGGATAGGCAAGAATGGAACAACGTGAGCAATGTCCCACACGACTGGGCATGATACACAGGCATTGGAACAGAAATTCATGGTCAACATGTTAAAGAATCACTGAATCCCTACAGTGTGGAAGCAAAACATTCAGCCCATTGAGTCGACACCAACCCTCTAAACAGCATCCCATCCAGACCCATTCTATCCCTTGTATTTACCATGGCCTTCACATTTACCATCACTTAGCCTGCACATTCCTGATTGAAGGGGTTCAAACATGAGCTTTTGGGAAAGATCGGCACAAATTTGGAAGATGACAACATATTCAAAGATATTTTAGAAGAAAGAAAGCTTGAGATTTGTGTTAGCTCACAAGGACCGCGGGGTCAAGTTTTTTTTAGGAGATTGGTGATGACTGCAGGTTCGAAAGAGAAGGCAACAGGATTTGGTCATTGTAGGTTGAAATTCCACTTCAGGAATAAGCACATAATTGAGATTCACACTCGTATACAATACTGGGGAAGTGCAGCACTCTTCTGGCTTTTGAATGAAATGCTAAACTGAGTTCATCTCTGGTTGGTCAAGTGAATAAGAATGATCCTCTGGCACTATTCCAAAGAAGTGTGGAGAGTTTCTCCTGTTGTTGTTGAATTCAATGGTGCTTAAACTAGATTTGCTTGTTTACTGTTTTGAGAGAGTTTGCTGTGTACAAATTGGCTACCAGGTTTTCCGATATAGCAAAACATTGCACATTAGCATAAACCTCACATTAGCTTGTGAGGTTCTTTTGGAAATACTCTCAATATGATCAGCTATTTATTTGACAAACTCGCATTAAGTACCTTATGATTCTTTAATATGTTAGAGATGCAAATTGTTACTATTGTAAGTTGTTGTTATTGTTTTGTTATATATATTTTCTGGTATCCTTTAACTTGCCTTCATTTTGTATGTTCATTTTACTGTCTATTTTGTATTTTTTTCCCCTCTTCTTCCTTACTTTCCTTAAATGTCCCAGAAAGTTTTGGCCCCTGGCAAATGTGGCGATAGAGTAACAGGGCTGGATGCGGGCTCTTGCCTGGGGCCCATCTGCTTTCTTTCTTTGCTTTACTTTTGCTTCTGCTCTTCTTTAGCTTTATTTTCCTTTTCTTTTCATCTCTTTTCTTTCTTTCTGTGGCGGGTTGGTCAGTAGCACCGGCGCGGCAGTGAGACCGAATCACATGAGGAGTGGTGGGCGTGGCTTCCCCAAGTGATAGGAGGCAGCATCAGTGAGGACGTTCTCCTGCCAGTCTGGGCCTGTGGCAGCGGCAGCAAGGACGTTCTCCTGCCAGTCTGGGCCTGCAACAGTGGCAGCAGCAGCGAGGACGTTCTCCTGCCAGTCTGGGCCCGTGGCAGCGGCAGTGAGGACATTCTCCTGCCAGTCTGGGCCCGTGGCAGCGGCAGCGAGGACGCTCTCCTGCCAGTCTGGGCCTGCGACAACGGCAGCGAGGACATTCTCCTGCCAATCTGGGCCCGTGGCAGCGGCAGCATCAGCGAGGACATTCTCCTGCCAGTCTGGGCCCATGGCAGCGAGGATGTTCTCCTACCAGTCTGGGCCCATGGCAGTGGCAACATCAGCGAGGACATTCTCCTGCCAGTCTGGGCCCGTGGCAGCGGCAATGAGGACGTTCTCCTGCCAGTCTGGGCCTGCGACAACGGTAGCGAGGACATTCTCCTGCCAGTCTGGGCCCGTGGCAGCGGCAGCGATGACATTCTCCTGCCAGTCTGGGCCCGTGGCAGCGGCAGCGAGGACATTCTCCTGGAGTTCAGGGCCAGCGGCAGCGGCAGCAAAGCTCCTCCAGTGATTGGGGATGACGGCGCCAGCAGCAGTGAACTTTTCAAGATGGTGGCATCGGCAAGACGACATCTGCAGCTGAAGTGAGACTCATGGCCCGGTGGCAGCCTGGCCTGGCAGCTGAGCCAGGGACTCTTGGTTGTGGGGCAAGTGTGGGTTCAGCGGCATGAGCGAAGTGGGCCCAGCAGTGAAGAGATGGCACCTAAAGTGGGGCGACTCCTACGCCGGTAGTTCCAGTGCAGGTGGTGGCCAGGCGGTGAGGGTCTCCCTTGAGGCTAGGCGCAGGCATGGACTGAGTCAGAAAGACTGATATTCTGAACTTTTTACTTCTTTATTTTTCTAATTTATTTCTATGTCCAATAATGCTGGACTATTTATTTCTTCACATTTCCAATTTTTTTGTTTCCTAAGAATTCTGGTCTTAAGTATCTGTACCTAAGGTTGCGCTGTAATTCAGCAGCTGCAAACTTTTCGCTGTATTCATTTGATAATAAAACAAATTCAGTTCAATTTAATTCAATAATGCATGACTGCTTCTTAACTCTTGCTGAAGATTATATATCAAGGAGGCCATGAAGTGACCATCTTTGTCTGGTATTAATAAATCATTCAGAAATCTTACAGGAAAACAGAAAAAATAGAACTTCTCCCTAGAGTGACGCATAGAGTAACTAAGTTTAACAGGGTCCGGGAGTCAAAAATACTCAGACCTAGACTTGGAACTTCACCAAATATGAATGAGGAGACTAACAGACTTCAGCAGATATACAGATGGAATGAGCAGATCTTTGGCAGATGTCGATTAATGTATCGAGACGTGAAGTGATTCAATTTTGGGAGAAAGAATGAGAAGTTGTAATGTAGACTAGATTCATGATGAGTTATATCCAGCAAATATAAATTGACCTTAGAAAGTCGTTCAGCAATATTTCAGAAAAAGGCAAGGGAAATGCCTTTGAAGATAAAATGCTGAGAATGTGGGATATAGGCACCCCAAAAGCAACAAGCTCAGACTTAACAAACTCGTTGCTAAATGAATCGTCAAACAAAAGTGAGATTAAAAAAAAAGGAGAAATGACACATAGAAAACCCACGAGGTAAAGAAGACATGAAGTGAATATAAAAAAAAATGAGAAGGGTGATCAGGGAGCTGGGAAAAAAGCATAGCCCAGATGGCTCTGTATAAGACAACATGTATCAACAGTAAAAGATTTTTTTCAGTACTATATCAGCAAGAGGACAGTCAGAGAACAGCTGAAAACCATAATCTATGCAAATTGACTTCAAACTGATGAATACTCTGAATGATTACTTCCTTGGTGTATTCACAAAGGAGTACGAGAAACACATTTTATCTAAACAAAGACATTCCAAGCACAAGTTATGTCTTTGTTATAAATTAAATGGAAAACTCAGACAGGCAAGCTGCACATAAAGCAAATAAATTCCATGGTGTATTTCAAAGTGTTGCAAGAGACGTTGGGAGATGTTTGTGAAGAACTGACAGTCATTATGATGGATTTATTGAACAGGAAGAAGAAAATGGAAAATTGA